CGAGGCCGTGATGTGCTTCTCGTCCGTGATCTCCAGCTCCTTCAGCGGGAGGCCCGTGACGCTCGTCTCCAGGAGCTAGGTCACGTCTTCGGTGGAAGAGTGGGCCCGGTGCGTGGTGCCGAACGTGTTGTTCACGGACAGGCCCGTCAGGCTGGCCAGGCCACTCTGTTCGAGCTGGACGAGCAGGTGGTCGATCCTGGCAAGCTCGGAGCCACAGCGTTCGGTCCACCCCTCGAAGCCGCTGTCGGACTCGCTCGGGTCGCAGGAGCCGTCACCGGAGCCGCCGTCGTCCTCGCCCTGGCTGCTGGCGCTGGAGGCGTTGCTCTCGTCAGGGCTGGCGCTGGAGGCGATGCTCTCGCGGGGGTCGGCGCTGGAGGCGATGCTCTCGTCGTCCTCCTCGTCGAGCCAGGAGCCCCCATCCGGCCAGGGGGACTTCATCCAGGCGTCATCCCCGGCTCCCTTCAGGTAGTCCAGCTCCTCCTTCGGCAATAAGCCCGGGACGCTCGGCTCCAGAAACTCGGTGACGTCCTATGTGGAAGCGTGGGCCCAGTGCGCGGTGCCGAACGTGTCGTTCACGAACAGGTCCTTCAGGCTGGCAAGCTCGGGGCCAATCTTGGTCTCCCCCTTTACCTCGCCGTTGGCCTTGCTTTCCGGGGCGCACTTGGTGTCCTTCTTCGTCAGCTCTCCCAGCTTCTTCGCCGCTGGTTTCAGCGAGAGTTTATGCTCGGGCCTGTCCTTGGTACGGCCCAGGTGGGAGCACGCCAGCACCTTGGCGCCCTTGCTCGTCGGGATCGAGGCCGTGATGTGCTTCTCGTCCGTGATCTCCGGGTCCGCATTCAGGGGCACGTTGAGGTCGCATCGGATCAGCTCCGTCTTTCCCTTCAGGCCGACATCGCCGAGGCCCTCCACGGACTTCTTCACGACGGTCTCATCACCAAGCGCAGCCACACCTGGGAGCACCTTGCCCACCTCGAGTTCCACGGGCCTGCGCGTCGAGGGCCTCCTGCTCGTCGGCCTGTACGTAGCCTGAAGTCGGGCCTGTCCCTCTACAGGGGGAAGATTCAAAAGTAGTCAAAAAATAGCCTGGGGACTATTTGTTGAAAATTTATTGGCCATTTGGGATCATTTTTTCGGTATTCTTTTTTTCGTCAAACATACCCCTCTGGGGGGACACGCCCGACTTCAGCGTAGCCCTGCACGTCGGCCTGCGCGTCGAGGGCCTCCTGCACGTCGGCCGGCGCGTCGAGGGCCTCTGCGCGTCGGCCGGCGCGTCGAGGGCCTCCCGCTCTGCGACGGGCCCCTGCACGCAGCCTTTTAAGTCAGGCCTGTCCCCCTACAGGGGGGAATGCTCCAAAAAAAAACTCTGGGAACGATGTGTTGCATATTTTGTGGCCATTTTAGGGTATGTTTTGACTATTTTCTATTGTCCGCCCAAAATCTCCTTGTAGGGGGACACGCCCGACTTAAACGTAGCCCTGCTCCACGGCCCGCCAGGCCTCGGCGGCCTCCGGATGCCCTTGGAGTCCATCACGAACGTGTCCATAATGACCGCCATCGGCTGCACCGTGCTGGCCACGGCGCCCTTCAGGTAGTCCAGCTCTTCCTTCAGCAGGAAGCCCGGGACGCTCGGCTGCAGGAGCTCGGTCACGTCCTCGGTGGATGAGTGGGCCCAGTGCGCGGTGCCGAACGTGTCGTTCCCGAACAGGTCCGACATGGCGTACACTTAATGTCCTTCTTCATCAGCTATCCCAGCTTCTTCTTCTTCTTCTTCTTCTTCTTCTTCTTCTTCTTCTTATTATCGTGCCCGTCCTCGGGACTGCTCAGCTGGGAGCACGCCAGCACCTTGGCGCCCTTGCTCTTCGGGATCGAGGCCGTGGTGCGCTCCCCGTCCATGATCTCCAGGTCCGCATTCAGGGGCACGTTCTGCGCGACCCGGCGCGCCAGGAGGGCGACGTCTGCGCCTCGGACCGGCCGGCGGCGCCGGGCGGCCCAGCCCAGGCGGCAGAGCGCCGCCGCCAGGGGCCTCGGGGCCTGCCGAGCGGCCGGTCCAGGAACCATCTCGTGTCGCTGCCAGACCCGCTCGCCTCAGGTGCGCGGGCCGGCGCGCATGGCAGCTGCCCCGAGCGAGGTCCGCGGATACCTGGTATCCGCGCCCAGAGCCTCGAGCCGAGGCGGCGGCTGAAGGGAGGAGGGGGGAGGGAGGAGAAGGGAGGGTAGAGGAGAGAGGCAAGCTGGGTGCGCTGGCGCCACATCTGACACCCTATCCCTCCCCCCCATCCCTTCCCACCGCGCTGATTTTTCTCTGTCCGCGGACCCGGCGAGGCCGACGTGGATTCTGCACGGATTCGACGCGGATAGGGCCACGACGGGACAGGCAAGGCCCCCCGAGAATACACACAACATAGACTTGGGGGTGTTTTGTTCCACGTGCACGCAGAGGTTCGAGGATGCCAGGCGACAGCCCACGGCCCGGTGGCCCCCATAGGAGGGCCAGCGGTCGATTCGTTGATCAGGGCGTCCCACACCAGAGGTCAAGCAGTGGCGCAGCGTGCTGGCTTGCCTATAGGCCCAGCAGAGAATGCTCTAAGAGCCTTGGTTTGTTATGGTATGTTCTTAGAGCATGTCGGGCTGAGACTGCCTTGTTTTCAAGCATGGGGGTTCTGGTCGAAGAGCATAAGTTTTGTTTTTCTTGACGCTTCGCGTATCCCCACCAGACTTGCGGTCGGCTGTCGACAGTGACGGCTGAGTTCGCCAATTATCTGCATGCTCGCACGTACGTTCGGCCGTCGACAGTGTCGGCTGAGTTCGCAAATTATCTGGCTCTGTGCCCCAGTCAGCCCGATAGACACGCCCTCTGGACTCTTCCTTGCGGGCCGCTGATCAAAAAAAATATCCCCACCAGCCCGCCACGCTGGCGATGTTCATCCCCGCCAACCTGGCCTGTCACACTCAGTGCGTCGATCACCGCGCTCTGAGTGCTGGTGTCTGGAGTCGGCCCCCAGGATACACCACAGGGCCAACGCCCCACGAGCTTGGGATGGTGGGCCTTGGAGCCCCGTGGCCGCTCCGGAGTGGTTCAGCCTTCCGTCAGACGCGGCGCTTCCCCTGGACCCATTCCAGCCAATCAGGCAGGTTTTCGACGTTACCTCGGCAGCTTAGCCCCATCAGCTTGCTTACGCCGTTGGTACAGCCCTGGACCTGGCGCCCCGCTGGCGACTCGTTCATCGTTCACCTCGCCTGTGCGTACCCCAGGCGTGTGAGACGCGTAAGCATCTGCGCGCACGTCTTCGCGTTCTCTGAGTGGGTCATGCCGCATGGCATACACCGAAATTCCTGGAATTTCGCTAGGCTGCACGTTGCCCGAGCTTCCCTGGATGCCCTCAGCCTGTCAGCCTTCCCGCGCAGCACAGCAGCTGCCTGGTGAGTGGGCCCGGCCGGCCTGCGGCGCTTCCAGTAGCTAATTAGGCCTTTACCGCGCCCCGGAACGCTTCTGACTCCGCCTGCGCCTTCGCTAGCGGACGCGACCAAAAAAAATATCCCCACCAGCCCATCCAGAAACGATGCCCATGAGAGTTGACGGGGGGAGAGAGGAAAAGACACGCGTAGTCGAACAGCGAGGGAGGCCCGCCTGGACGGCGTGTTGGGGCCATTTCGGCGGCATTCTGGGGTGGCTCCATGGCCATTTTGAGCCGTCTTGGAGCGGTCTTGGGGCCTCTCGGAGCATCTTGGGAGACATCTGGATATAGCTTGGGCTATCGTGAGCCATCTTGAAGGTCATCTTGGGCTCTCTGAGGCCCCTCGGGGACCGCTCGGGGGCCTCTTGGGGGCCTCTCGGGTGTTTTTTGGAGGCCTCTTGAGGCTTCTTGGGGCGCTTTTTGGGCCCTCTTGGGAGCCTCTTGGGAGCCCTGGATGGCCTCTTGGGGCCATCTTGGAGGCGGTCGGTCAAAAGAAGAGGGGTTCTCGAGTTGCGTCCCCCCCTCGGGGGCCACGATCCTCGTGAGGGGTTGCAGAAAACGGCACCTCGCGATCCCGTCCAAAAAACCTCAGGGAGGGGAGGGGGAGGGTTCCCCTCCCCGCAGGGAAGAGAGGCTGTGGAAGAGGAAGGAGACCCTCGTTGGACCACCTGTCGCCCAAAGGGCTGGTGGGGATGGAAAATTTTTGATTTCTAGGAATCGTGCCAGGCCTATAGGAGTGAGTGCTGGGACAGTCAGTCCCTGCTCAATGTTTGGGCCATTGGCCTCCCATAGAATTGAGGGTGCTACTCAGGAGGGAAAAAACACACAGACACAATGAATCGTCGATCCCCAGGGAAATACGGCAAACAGATGGGAGATGGGGGGGAAGACACATGCCCGGAAAGTATTGGAAACTATGGAGAATCCCGTTATTTGTGTGTGTATCTATTTGTGTGTCCCAGGGCCCCTTCAGTTACGCTCAACGTCCAAGAAGAGGCTCGAGGATGCCAGGCGGCAGCCCACGGCCTGGTGGTCCCCGCAGGAGGGCCAGCGGTCCATTGTTTGTTGCTCCATCTCTGTTGATCAGAGGGCTTATGCCAGCGAGCCTGCGGTTGTCTGGGCCTCCTAGATGGTGTCGGGGTGGATGGGGTCCGAGGGTCGCGTCGCATCGCCGATGCATCGCCGATGCGGCCCGATGTTGAGCCTGATTTGCTTCACGTCGACGTCGCCCATGCATCGCCCACGTCGACGAGGCATCGCCAGTGCGTCGCCGATCGGCAACGCCGATATATATGTATACAAACATCTACACACATATATATATATACATACATATCGGCGATGCGGCGCGATCCTCCGACCCGATCTACTCCGACCCCATCTAGGAGGCCTCTACTGTTGCTCCATCTCTTTTGACCAGGGGGTTTAATAGCAGAGAGCATGCGGTTCGGGTGGGCGTGAGGACGCAGGATAGCCGTTACCAGACTCATCGCGGTTCTTCCTCGCCCTTCTCTTCCTCGCCTCCTCGTGATCAATCTCCGCAGCAGCAGCAGCAACTTCAGATCAAGCCAGATCGGTTTAGGCTTGTATCTTCTGACTACCGAAGTCTGCACAGGTCCTTTCACGCCCTCAACAACGATGGCTGCCGTCCGCGCTCTCACTCTCATTGCCCTGGCCTCTGCTGGTGCTGCCCTGCAGGTACATGATGGCATACAGCACAACCTGACCGTCTGCAATGCCTACGCGGAGAACAAGCCCCTCAGCGTCTACACGGTCAACCAGAAGGCGAAGCTCACAGAAGAGCCGTTGCATTACAAGGCTTGCAAGGAGATCGTCCTCGAGTTGGCGGACAGCGAGCGCATCGATTTTAAGTTGGGTGGGCTCAGCGTCGGCACGTTCCACGTCGGCAACCTCCCGTTCGCCCCCACGTCGCTGCTGCTGGTGCCGTACCGCAAAGGCAACAGCACCATGGCGGCAACCTTCTACTCCCACGCCTTCTCGGTCGCGCAGGAGAACGCACAGGTCGCGGTTGTCGACGCGTACGACGGCACCTCGCCGGGCGCCCTGAAGATCGCGCAGGGCAGCAAGAGGCGCGCCGAGGCGGTGCAGCTCAAGCCTGGCACGGCCCTGACCCTCGCCCCGGGAGCCTACCAGGTTCAGGGACGGACTATGCCAAACGTGCTTCGTTCCAACCCGAGTTCTTGGCAGCACTTTCCATTATCTTGGAAATTGTTCTTCCAAAATGCTTGAAAGTCTTGTTGAAGTTCGAGGTTTTCGAGTGTTCCCGTTGTTGCTCGGCGGTTTTTTTTTTCCTTCGGGGGGGCGGGCCCGCGCTGCCATGGCCGGACGCGGCTCGCAAGGGCGGTGCGTCTGGACCCCGGGACTCCCGGGGTCCAGACGCAACCCCTCCCGGAGGGGTTGCGGGGCCGATTTCGAGTTGCCGTTGTCTCAGCTCACCCTGCTCCCACATCAGGGGCAACATTCGGGGGAGGTATCATCTCTGCGGGTTTCCAGGCTCGGGGGGCTTTTCAGCGGCGTTCGCCTCGCCGAGAGCGCTCCGGGGGTTTGTCCAGAGCGCCCCGAGCAGTCGCCAGAGAGCCCGAGGTGTGGGCGAACAAAAGCCAGGCGGCAATTGTACGGGGGGGGGCAGGCTTATTATGTTCTAACCGATGTTAGCTTCATCACCAGAAAACTTCCGAGCGCCAAGAAAGTACCGAAACTTGAGGTTTTCACGTGTCGGGCCCTGGGAGGTGATGCTCGTTCGACATCTCGCTAACGTGTCGGGAAGACACCGTCTGGGTACTCGAAGCTACTTTTGGGATGAGGTCCTTAAATCATATAAAGGCAGCATAATGATAGGCGCAGGAGAGGGGGGTACGTCGACCCTCCATCGCCGACTCATCCCCGACCAGGGCATGATAGCCCACCCTGCCCAGAAGCGTGCGGATTACAGTGGAGACCCATGCCAAGAAGCACCCTACTTGCCTCCAGGGTACCCTGGGTTTCTTGGGCTTCAATGGTTTTAGCTATGGAAAGCGTGACGCTCCCGCACAAAAAAAATCAAGGGACGTCCTGGGGTCGCAGTGTTAGGTTTTTTGTTAAAGGTTTCTTGTGGCCGAGCTCCTACTGTACGTCGACCCTCAATCGCCGACTGATCCCCGACGAGGGACTATAGCCCACACTGCTCAGAAGCGTGCGGATTAACTGTCGGGAGCATATCCAGGTCAGGGCTAGGACGAGGATAAATCCGTTGCAGAGCGTTCCGGAACGCTCTCAGAAGGCCGCGACGCCCGAGACATCCTCCAGAGCCGCCGGCTCTCAGAGATTTTTGATTTTTCCTCACCCGATGTTATCCTCATCTTGGTTTCATCTTACATCGCCGACCCATCGGCGATATGCCCCGACGACATTGTTTTTCCATGATGTGACACCCAGAGGTCTGGACCTTCCCCAAGGGGAACAGCTTTTCATTCCGAGTCCTTTTCTGACTTTCTTTGGGTCCGGTGATTGCACCCCAAGGCCAAAAGCAGCGAAAGCGCGCCCGGCTTGAGTTCTGCTCACGACGCGAGGAGGCTTGGGTGTAGCCGATTCAAGTTCGATGTTTCCGCCCCCGAGCCAGTCCCCCCCACTTGGCGTTGCCCCTCCTCCTCCTCCTCCTCCTCCTCCTCCTCCTCCTCTTCCTCCTCATCCTCCTTCTCCTCCTCCCTCCTCCTTCTCCTCCTGCTCTTCCTGCTCCTCCTCCTGCCCTGACAGGTCAGCCTGGACGACCCTGGCAGCAAGAGCGCCAGGACCGTCGCTCTGACGGCCGCGGAGGGCAGCAAGCACGTGATCATGCGGGTGGGCGGCAGCGACGGCATCCCTCAGGAGCCTCTTCCTCCGCTTCCTCCGCCTCATCCTCCTCCGCCTCCTCCTCCTCCTCCTTCTCCTCCTTCTACTACTCTTCTTCAGTCCTCCTTCCTCCGCCATCCCTTGACCTGACAACTAACTCCTCCCAGTCGCACCCCCAGACGTGTCGGCAGGGCGGGCCGAGCGTTTCGCCCAAGAC